GGCAATTGCTTTTACTAGAAAAAATTACATATTTTTATATACGGAGTATCGTATAATTTTACTTTATTTGCAAAGTTCTCTTGGGGGCATGTGCCCCCGGCCACAACTTTGAATATAGATCCGTCACGAGGAAGATGATAAAATAATGTGATGAGAAAATTGTTAAATTCAAAAAATGTAGTTATAATAAGAAGTGAGAATTTTAGTTTTTAAATTATTGAAAGTATATGACCAAAAAAAATTTATTGAAAGTATGTTAGAAAGTTTTGGAAATGTGAAAATCTTATCGTTACGGACGAAAAAGGAATGTGAGATGTTTCTGGTAGTATATACTAAGATGTATTCCAAAATAAACTTCTTCTTGAGTTATTTACACATATACTTCATATCCACTCCTTCCATTCTGTTTTAGTTACAAAAAGTGATGAGGAGTATTGCAGACACAAGGAGATCCGTAAACAATATATAATGACCTCTATGATCCAAAACGGTTAAGACATGTATCTCTAGATGGACAGACTAAAATTCAGGAAATTACTAAAATCATTGCTCGATTGCCGAAGAATGACCCATTCGTAATATGTGGAAGTGGGAATTGATTTATTTGAGGCAAAAAGCATCCATAAACCGTGATTTTAACAAAATAGCACGTAGTATGTTACATGTTTTATATCTTCACAAATTTGTATATTAATAAATGAAAAAATAACATATGAAACAATGACAAGTGTTTTAGGTTCGAACGAATGATGAAAAGTGTTTAAGTATATATGAAACAATGACAAAAATTGTAGTTTTTGAGTGCTTATTGAACGTAAAACTGTTCATAATCAAACAAATGAAACCATACAAAATGTTATAATTCATACTATACTATGAGGTTACCGTGTCTAGTGGAAGGTCTCAAGTTCGAAACCCGCTAAGCACATAAGCGTTCGAAACTCAATGGAGTGAGTTTCAGTCCTGATTACTCCAGGCCCCCCATCCCCCTTCCCCCAGACCCTCCTGTAGTAAAGAAAAATGGTTATGCGCCAGCCGCCAATATAAATTAGCAAAATTATACGATCGAGAGTACTTTCTTTTAAAGATTATGCATGTATCTATGCATAATATCATATGTTAATCCATTCTCCGTATCTATTAAGCTTAGAACAAATTCAAATTCAGACCTTATAGAACTTTAGAATGATGAATTCCAATTTGTTAATGAGATTTTAATTTTGATTCTCCAAATTCCAGGATGAAGATCGGAAAACTATGTCGATCTGGCTTCACATGGACGGATTCTCAATTTCTCATAAACGAAACACTCCTTGTTACTCCGTAATTTTTTGTTTTAAATAACTCTCTAGCCAAGACAATTTAAGCAGAAGCAAAATAATAACGCGCGATAACAACTGTGATATCGTAGATACTACAAAATTAGCGTATTTTCCAACGAACTAACATATTTTCCAACGTTTAACGAACTAACATATTTTCCAACGTTACATGATGCATAATAATTAGCGTATATCGTAGATACTACAAAATACGGTTTAGCACAATCTAAGAGGGTTTAACACACGTCTCAACATTTATTAATGATGTTTTTCGCTTGGACTATTTTCAATCTCAGATCAAGCCAAAACAGACCAGATTAGGCTTATGGAGATCAGACTAGACTAGACTTCCATAATTATAAAATACTCAGAAACCAAACATTTACTAGACCAAACCAAACTAATTCAGACCAGACGACGCTTAAACAGATGAGACAAAATCAAAAATTTCATTCCAAAGTGAAAAACATCTTGTGAACATCTCCTTAAATTTATAAGATAGGTTAAGGTTATGTCTTGGAGACGGGCTGATGTGTCATATTTTAGCACGCTCACGGCTCACGGCTCACATAATGGTGGCTTTTTATTGGAGGGAATTTGGAGCATACCATCTTCAAAATGGTATGATGAGTGGCATAAAAGTAATTTATGGATGTGAGACACTTGAAAGATCGGCTGGGTATAAGAAAAATGTTACACCCTCCGTCCTAATTTGATGATCCCATTTCTTTTGGGCTCAAATATTAAGAAAGTGGTTGAAAAGGTAAAAATTGTGATTGAGATTTGAGTATAAAAAAGTGAAATGATGTGGACCACATATTGGGGGTGTTAGGCAACTAGCTGTTAGCGGTTGGCTGTTGCTGATTGTGTTAGCTGTTTGATGTTGGCTGATTCTGTTGGCTGCTTTGATTACCTGACAGTCTTAGCGGTTTATATAATAATGTTCGGTTAAATGGCTGTTTAAAATTAGCTGATAAATTGTTATATGACTTTTAAGGACATAGAATATTTTTTTACAAACTACTTTTACATACGTATATTATACAAGTATTTCGTACATGTCAACCATGTTATTAATTAGAACAAGAACTTACACCATTGTTGATTTGTAGTTAATTAATAAAAAAATCGTCATACAAGAAACAAATTTTTAATGAAAATAATTTATAGACGAATTGTATTACAAGATGGGTTTTCATGTTTCTCACTGCATCATTACAAAATCATACAAAGTATTTTTTGGACACGGGCTCAAAAAATATTTGATCAATAAAAATGCAATTAACACTAGAGATTTGATTAACAGGAATTGTGATTATGACGTTTGCCCACCGCCTCCTGTTATGGTAGATCGAAGATGTCAAGCAAGGAAAATGTGAGAAGGGAAGGGACAGACTATGGGCAGAATAGGAATAATATGGTGGATAAAGAAATGGCCGAGGGGAAACGCTACATATTAGGGGTGGGCAAACGGGTCTTGGAACCGCGGTCCGGTCCGGGTAATGGCGGTTCGGGTCCAAAACGGGCCGGTTCCATTTTTTGTTGCCATAAAACGGTCCGGGTAGGGTCGGGTAATTTTCTTTAAAGAACCGGACCGGTTCCAAAATAAAAAAAACGGGTACCCGACCCGGCCCGTTATATATATTGTATATTAATTTATTAATAGTTTTGTGATAATCGGTTTTGAAATAGTTTTGTTTCCTTTGCTAGAAGTAGGATTTTAAATTGAGTTGAAGTAACATCCTTTTGTTTTCAAATTATTGATTAAATTTTTCATAAATATCTTATTACTTTTTATTGTTATTGAGTTATTCCTTTCTATGGAATTTAATTATTTGTTAAAAATGATTTTAGTATATTTTTTTATAATATTGTTCTTAAATATATAAATTGTGTTTACCACCCACCATGTATGTGTCAACTTTGGCTAATACTGAAAATTTAATATAAAAACAAGCAATCACTTTAATATATGATGTTAGACAACATGCTTAAATACAAATGTTAGGAAATATGTATTTTGGCTATGTTGCATATTTTTGGAATTTCTTTAATTGTTTGAAACTTATATGCATGAAATTATGGAGTATTGGACTTGTCGCTTGTGTTACATGTGCACCACTATGTTGTTATTTTGAAACTAGCTAATGTCCTATATTATTGATTATTAATTTTTGGAACTTCGTGAGTTTTTACTAATTTTAAGACATGAGAATAGAAATCGTAAAACCCGGACCGGACCGACCCGTTTCAAATGGGGCGGGTAAGGTCCGGTTCCTATTTTGAAAATTGAAATACCCGGACCGGACCGGACCGTACAATGGAACCGGCGGTTCCATTTTATTTTGCATTACCCGCCCCGACCCGACCCGTGCCCAGCCCTACTACATATTATGGCGTTTTGAAATTTTGGCTGTTTACAACAAACAGCCAAATTAGCAAGTCCTTAACCAAACACTTCAATAGCCGATTAAAGTGGTCAAACAGCCAATTAACGGTCAAAACAGCTAAAAATTGGCTGATAGGCTGTTAACCAAACACCCCAATTTATTTTCAAAAAGGGAAATGAGACTATCAATTTGGGACGACCCAGAAAGGAAATACGGGATCATCAAATTGGGACGGAGGGAGTACTCCGTATCAGGGAGAGAAAAACGGGAGGTAAATATACACGATAAATTTGACAAAGGAAGAAAATGCCCGATTCGTATTACTTTCAAAAACTGAATTACCGTAGGTCTTTATTTTCCAATCTTATAATTACTTGGGTGTAAATGTGTAATGCCTTATCGTCTTAATAATAATAATAATGATTTAATTTGATTACCGTACGTATTACAACTCGGTTGGTGCGGAATTCGGGAGGAATAAAGGTTCTAAACTTGGTTGCTTTAATCAATATATATATATATATATATATATATATATATATATATATATATATATATATATATATATATATATATATATATATATATATATATATATATATATATATATATATATAGAGATTGGATCATATGAGAATATGATCTAATGAGAGAAATAAGAATCAATTAGGGCCATTAGATTCAAAAATTATTTCCCCTAAGCTCATTAATCGTGTAGGGGCAGTACTGTCTTTTACTCCGATTCTCCTTCCAAATCATAATCGTTCTGCGAATCAAACTTTCCATAATCGTTTTTGTTTCCGATCTTACTCTGTGTCTTCTATATCTCCTATGGATTCTCTACTGTACATTTTTCATCTATATGTTCTTCTCAATCGTCATTGATATTCCAACGTTGAATACAAGCGCCATCGTCGAATAAGAAATTTGCTAGCAACTTTATCTTCTCCGTATGGATCACGGTGAGTTTTTTTGAATTAATCAATTTCGTAATTTAATTGTTTATATTTTATTATTGTTGAATTTATGTCGATTGAAACACTTCTAGTTGTCAATTTAACGGTTGTCTTCCTGATCAAACATCTTCTACCCATATCCTATACATAAAAGCAAAACAAATATTCACTGTTCATGCTACAGTAATTCACTGTTCATTGTACAGTAATCCTATACATAAAAGCAAAACAAATATTCACTGTTCATGCTACAGTAATTCACTGTTCATTGTACAGTAATCCCGCCTAAACCACATTCACTCATCTCTACCGTCCATTTAACAATTCATTCACGCATCTTTCCATCCGATCAATTTCCATAGGCTTCATAGCAAATCCCGATCAACCCTGGCAGAATCATAGTATTGAGGAGGAGCAGATCCGTGCGGCTCAAGAGCAAGCTTCGCTGGGCCTTTATTTTCTTCTTGGAGCACTGGAAGCTCCTCTCGGAAGTCGGGAACCAAGATATCGACTTCCTAGATCAATTTCCACAGCCTTCATATCAATTTCCGATCAACCTTGGCATAATCGGAGTAGCCAGGAAGAGCAAATCCGTACTACTCATGACCCTCATCACGGGGCAACTTTTTTATTCTCCATCGTCATATCTTCCCTCATCAAGAACTCTTACTCTTCCTCATGGGTATCAAGTCGAGTTCAAAACACAGAAGCAACTCCTCTCTCCATTTGTAATTCAGGTTTTGATTCCTGTTTTAGTTTTCTTTGAATTTATTATTTTCAGTCCTTGATTCAGATTTTGATTCCAGTTTTTCCTATGGAAGGAAACCTTTTTTCTTAAAAGATGCATTTTTATTGAAGTAGGAGTAAAGACCTCTTACTTTAAATTTACACTGCTGGAAAGTAGGGTCTCTCAAGAGTGATCTCTTTGCTTTTGATATCTTTAAAGTTGTTAGGTTGTATTATAAAATCACTTCAAATGTATATTACTCATTAACTTGGATGATAATATGCACTTAAAAGGGAAAGTAAAATAGTTTGATGAATAATATCTGCAAAGTTCAGTTCTTCAATCTCTTAAAAGCTCAGTCAACCTGCACCTAAAATTCAGTCATTTTCTTAATGCAGCCAGGCTTGCGAAATACCCCAACAGGCAACACTCTTTTCAAATAGTTGGTATTCTGAATAGCAGAGGTTATACCCAACATTCAACCTCTTTTAGAATGGAGAACAGATTTGTACATTACTACATTTGCAAGGTAACTTTTTCTTCTTCTAATGATCTTATTCCATCCCATCAATATATTACGTTACATTTGGGTCAACATGTATTTTAAGAAAACAAAGAAGCTGTTTATTTTTTTTCCACTATACATTTGGTGCAGCTTCCTAATTTAGGTTTGTCTATCCTCAATTGCTTATTTGCTGATGATTTTCATGCTTAAAAGTCAAACTCACGAGGATCTTCCTAAGAATCAAAGAATTACGAGTTCATCAACTCTAATGAGGGATTTAATGGAATCCCACGAGGAAGACCACTCATACAGGGAGGAAAAGGGCAGACTGTTCAATGGGACAAAGTAAGCTTAAATTTTGAGCCTCTTCATCACCATCTAAGTGTTTATGTGAATAAAGACATTACATATTTTTAATTTTTAATCAATACTTCAGGGAACAACTTTGCGAGTATATATATATACCAACCATTAGTCTGAAGTCTGAACCATTAGTGCCATATGTGCGAGTAAAGCAAATTCACCTTAGTTTTTCTATGCTATTTTATATTCTGGCCATTTTCATTCTAAGAGTAGGCACATTAGTATTTAAACTTTTTACCATTTGAAAGTTTGAATTAAATTTTATGAATACGGAGTGTTCCAAGACTTGCAACCTGACAAATAATTTGGTCTCAAATTCTAAATCCCAGAATGGATGGGTTTTATATGATGTAAAAGTTGCTTTTTATGATGTCACAGGTGAACTTCTTCATCCCTATTTCAAATAAATGGGTGCACTCAATCCTTTGACTAAAGTATGGGTTGGCTAGAGTGTTGCATGTCTGTTACTGACTTTTAAGTATATACCTTATGAAGCAAATAACAGAAAACAATAAAGAGAACTCACAACCTATGCATTTGATGTGTAATTCAGGTATAAAAAACAAATCTCACTAATAAAAATCAAAATTTCAGGTTGATTCTTGGAAGAGGAAGTAATTTTCAATCTGGACAATCAACCCAATTTCAATGGCACCAGGGGAGATCCTAGATGATCGTAAGGGTATAACTTATAGAGATATTGAAATAAAGGTGAATCTCTAACTTTTGACTTAGTTCTTCAATAGCATACATTTGAATATGATATTTCGGAGTTAACTTGGGGCAAATAGGTTTATAGAACTTTAATCTGTTGATCAAAATAAATTTTGGTTGTGGTAAAACAATGGAAAACTGATAAATATGAAAACAGTAGGCCACTCTTAACATTGTGTAAATATAGATTACAGTAAATGAGCAGAAAACACGTGAATGGTTTACATTTCTCTGAGAAAATATATGAGCTCAAAGCTGATAAAAGATCTCACTGTCAATTTTTATATTTGTCAATTATCCATTGTAAAACTTTAATGAGAATATCAAAACTAATTAACCACAACATTTTTACTAAACAATACTTAAAAGCTCAATTCCATCAGCTATGATCATTAATGAACTCAAAGCTGACGGAATGTTTGCTCACAAAGACCTCAATTCGGATCAGCATTAATCATTTCTCACAAAAATCTAAATTTTCTATTCTTTCTTCATAGAATTCCTTTAACGTGCATTCTTCCCATGTTGGGCATACTATTGTTTAGTATTTCTAGAGGGATCTACTTCATTATTTTTATCAGTTTTGCTCAAACCGCCTACGTATTTAATTCTGTAATATTAAAAAGATTATAACCAATCTTAACCAAATTCCCATAAAATCTAGCTACCCTTTTTGAAGATTTTTTACTTCTTATTCATTTTACTTTTTTACTATGGCTTACTAATATTATTATTTTAATGAGAGAATTAACAGGCCTCTTATTCAATTTATCAATATAAATCAACTTTTAGAATGAGAGAAGAAATAGGTTTGGTTTATACTCCTTATTCATTTTATTTTTTTTACTATTGCTTACTAATATTTATCCATGTATTATTCCCTATGGCCATGGTGAATCCACATGAGCACAAATATTGTCTTTTAACCTCCCAAGAATCCAAATCTATATACTATATAATACGTATTAACAAATAGTCGGAAGAGGATTTGGGCGGGAACACTATAGAAAGAAAGAAGATCTTCATGGTACAACTAAGAGTCTAAGACAAGGGTCATGCTAAACTTATTTTTCTTTTATCTGCATTTAATCGTTCTAAAAGTAATATACTTTTGGTTGGTATTTATTTAATAACATGTCGACATCCTAACTAACTGTTACCTTCTATTCTGTCAAGCTTGAAATCCCTATTTGAAGTGCAAAACTACTGTATATAGAAGCTCTATACTATAAAGCTTTTTATATGTTGAGCTTCGTTCAAATATGCTTTTTATCTTTAATAGTTTGTAATCGTGAGCGTATAAACTCAACTTCAGTTTCATCGCATTTACATGTGTGATAAGTGGGCTTTTTGTGGAATAAAACACGACATAAAAGTGTAACATTGAAGCTCGATGTTGTGTGAGTAGAAGTTCACCCTTTTAGCATTAAAGAAACCAACCTGTTTTCTCTCTCTTTGAAATAGCATTAAAGAAAGCAACCTGGATTTTTTCTTTGTTATCTAAATATAAGAACCGCCTTCATCCTGGTAGGTCGCTATCTCCTTCCTCATATTAATGATTTTTAGTATGATTTAATCGATTTCTGAGGACTGGAATCTAATTGCATGTTTTTTGTATTGTTTATGGTTTTTATATTTGTTTCGGAAAACTGGAATCCGTTTTTTTTAATTCCACTTGCCTCATCACTTTTAGCATGACTTTTGTGCTTTTACTTATAATTACTTCCATTTCCAGGCAAAAGTTGCTTTTACTTATAATACTTCCATTTCAAGTTCCCGTTTTCGACACTCTTAAAACAAAAACGTTTCTCTCTTTGTAGCTCTTCAGATGAAAAGCACAATGACACAGATGATGTAGATCAATATGTTAAACTAGGCGCTCCTTTCTCAAGAGGTGACACAGTTAAGGCATTTCTTGATGAGGAAGCTCAGGAAGAAGATGAGACTGATAACAACTCTGCAAGTTTATCATTATTTATACTACTTTTGGAATATTTGTTCTTAACAATAGCTCTCTTGGGATATTTGTTCTTAAGAAATATGCATTTTTACCTTTATTTATACTACTTTTGATATTATGACTCCCAATTTTAATGAAAGGTTAATAGTGACAGTAACCCAAGCGTCAATCGTGATAAGTGAGGAATGATTAGGTATTAAAAGTAGCTATTTTGAGGTATTTGTTTTTAAGAATGCCTTTACAAATCCACCTTTGTTTTACAGCAATTTTAATACTATGACTCCCACTTTTTGAAGGTTGAAATATCTACAATGTAACTAAGTATTAAAACGAATAAATGGCTGAGATTAAATTGAAGGGTCTTATCATTGAATCAAAGAGACATACATTCTTGCAAGCAGTTATTGTAGAGGTCTTTTCTATTTTATAACAAGACATTGGTTGGTTTGGACTTTGGAGATGTATAAAAAGAAAGAATGATTTGGATTGAAGGGTCTTATAGATGAGCCGGGCAATCGTTGGAAATTGTGGGTGTTTTCCTGCAACGTCCAATTTTTACGCATAGACAACTATTAGTTGCGGTTTCAAGAGTAATAATTCTGTCAAGCTTGAAGTTTGTGATATGTGATGACGAAGATAATCAGGGAAAAAACACAAATATGTTGTCTACGAGAAAATTATAAATAATTTGTAAATGAGGGCTTATTAAAATTCTAATATTTGTAATTATTCATTGATTAATTACTATTAAAGTTCATATTTATTTGTTATTCATATTTGGAAAAATATTACAATCTTTTTATATTTATAGGTTAAAATTTATAGCATCTTCATTTTACATCCCGTGCAACGCACGGGTGGAATACTAGTTTCTTCTTATTCCCTGCAAATCAATTGTTGTTGTGTTGTTTGAAGGTTTTACTTTTAATCTGATTTAATGTTGTTATGTCGAACATATGTGTTGGGATTCTTTTTCTTCTTTTTGTTGCTGAAGTTTTTAGTAATAACCTGAATTGTGTTTCTCTCAGTTTGCTGCACTTTTTGCTTCATTAACTACTTTTATAACTGTTGGTACACTTTTCAATTTTGAATGTACTAAGGTTTTATCTATTTAGCAATTTGATTGATACTTGTTATTTATATATTTGTAGATTCTACTTACGAGTTCAGTTATTCTGATTCTACACCAAACTCTTGTCATTCATCTAAATTTGAAGTTTCTCCAAACATGACCAAGTATTGGACTCCTATGTGTGTTGAGAGCTGTAAGCCTCATGTTGGTATGATTTTCACAAATGTTGCTGTTGGATTTCAATTCTACAAACAATATGCTACTCTTTGTGGCTTTGATATCCGTAAGAGTACCTCAAGAAAGAGTAGTGATGGAGTTTGTGTGTGGAAGTATATTTTGTGTAACAGAGAAGGATTCAAAAATCTGCCTAAACCTACCAATCTTGAATCTAGCAGTTGTGTTGGTGATGAAACTGAATCCATGAATACAGAATCTAGCTCTTTTAATTGTGAGAATATTGTTGACTCTAATGAGGAACTGAAAAGCTCAGAACCAAAAAATATTCCTTCGAATAAGAGACGTCGTGTATCAAATCGTGTTGGTTGCAATGCACGTTTAGTTATGAGATTACATGCTGAACATGGATATGTGGTGACCTGTTTTGAAGAGCGGCATAATCATCCCATGGCGTTAAAGAGAAGTCAATTGAAGCTTCCAAGAAGTCTAAAAGACTGTGCCGAACTTGTAACTAGCTTGCTTTCCATGACAGCAGGAATTGTCCTCTAAATTCTGAGAAATAACCAAATTCAAACTGTCTAATGTGTTGGAGTTTCAATTTTTCATGTCTCTTTCACACTTGCTGTGAATTTGTTCTTGTACCCAAATCTTTATATTCTGTTGTGCAACAATCATACATTACAGATTTGCTTATGAATGGTTTTGTGATTGTTTTAAGTAACTGTCTTAATTAAGTTCTAATTCATACTCTTTTGCACATTAAGTCCTAATTCCATGCACTGTTATACAATAACTTGTGCTTTGTTTTCCTCTAGAGTACATGATGCATGATTTTGACAAACAATGTGTACTCATATTAAGGAGTAAGATATTGTGCACTTTTATCAGTGTATGAATGTCCTGATTCACTTAATCTGGATTTGACTAAATAATGCACATTTATTTAAATTCAAAAAAACTGTTTCACAACTTTAAACTTCAACTTAACATATTCATATATTCTCTAAACAATTTACACTAATGTCATGCTATGACTTTTATTTTACAGGGATACTCATGTTTAGTAACCTACAGTTTTTTACATTAATTCCTAAGTGATGCACTGGAAAGTATCTTATTTAATAACACAAGTGAAATTAATAATTCGTAAGTGATTGATTGAAGTATCTTATTTACTTGAATATTGGAAAGAATTTTCTTTTGTGATCACACAAAAAGTTCAATTTCATTCATACATTACACAACTGGAAGTTCACATTAGCTTTAAACACAAATATAATTGAAACTACGTAAATGTCATTGTGGTTGTAAACACCAAACCAGATCCAAATTGTCAAATCCAAAACCAAAGATATGAAGGCAAGCATTTAAATGTCATTGTAGTGTTGTACACCAAACCAAATCCAAAACAAAAGTACATGAAATTATCTAAATGTCAACATCAGTTCTTCATTTCTTTGTTTTTCCAAACTCCTTCACTCCGTTTAGATTTTTTCCCTTCATCTCATTCACTTCTGTTGTGGACAATATTGCACGGTACTTCATTCTTAAAGCACTCAATAACTTTGCATCTCCCTTTTTAATACCACAGTCAAAATCTTATGTTCCTTGGCCACTGTATGTTTCCACGTGTCTCATGGTCCATAGTCCGTTTTCGTGCTCATTTTTCACTTCCCTCCAACCCATTTTTAGGCAGTTTATAGATGGTGTACGGAAGACCTTGCCATTATTGTCCAATCCTCTTTCACTCAGAAATTCCACAAACATGTCCCTCTGTTTGCAAAATCAATAACAAACGATACATAATGTTATTTTGTTCACACTTGTTAAGTAATAAATGTAAATATATTTACATTTACCAGTACTAATGGCATCTCAGAATATTTGTGCTCAAATTCAATTTCAAGTGATGAGCTATCCAGTATCTCGACATGCTGATTTTGCATGTTGAAGCACATACTGTAAAAGTGTTCTGGTTGCACAATTGGAAAGAAAAACTGCACATAATGATGGTATAGTTATATATTTGCATTAATAATATCAATGGATGCAATAATTTTTATATGTCTTTTTTTCTCACTATTTTCAAATTCAATTACCACATCAACATCCTCCAGTATAACTTCAGGTTTCACTGCTTCCAATGCCATCTCTAGTGTCTGTTTGAAAACATTGTACCTCTCATTTTCTTCAATAGGATCATCCATCGTATATGGCTGCAAAACACTTTATTATCATATATTTAGTCATGCAATCTTCTTAAGTAAGATAGTTTCATTTTTAATTTCATGTCTTATAAAAACTAATTGGATAAACACTTACACAAGGATATGATCTTGCAAACAACCTACATGGGGAGTCTTTCTGCACTTATTGACTTTCAAAAAACTGTCGCATATACAACAATCACAACTCAGGTCTTAATGAACTCAACATATGCTCATACGTTCTAAATAGTGCAGTCTCATATCAGGGTATCATACTTTTATTTCTCCAGTTGATTGGTGCTTAGTGACATACTTTTTTGCACATGAATTACTAGTTGATGCACTCTGGTGTAATAAACTATGCACTGTTCTTCTCTATAGTGCATTTATCTTACATTGTGATGCATGCCATTGACAGAATATGCATACTCCTATGACCACTAAGATAATGCAAGCCAGTTTGACATTCAATAACAAGCACCTATGAGGGTAGGAAAGCCATCGAATCAGTTAATTGACATTTCACAAAACAATGCACATTGTATTTAGGTTTTCTGCACTTATTGACTTTCAGAAATTTGTCACATATACAACAATCGCAACTCAGGTCTTAATGAACTCAACATATGCTCATATGCTCTAAATAGTGCAGTCTCATATCAGGGTATCATACTTTTATTTCTCCAGTTGATTGGTGCTTAGTGACATACTTTTTTGCACATGAATTACTAGTTGATGCACTCTGGTGTAATAAACTATGCACTGTTCTTCTCTATAGTGCACTTATCTTACATTGTGATGCATGCCACTGACAGAATATGCATACTCCTATGACCACTAAGATAATGCAAGCCAGTTTCACATTCAATAACATGCACCTCTATGAGGGTAGGACAGCCATCGAATCAGTTAATTGACATTTCACAAAACAATGCACATTGTATTTAGGTTTTCTGCACTTATTGACTTTCAGAAATTTGTCACATATACAACAATCACAACTCAGGTCTTAATGAACTCAACATATGCTCATACGCTCTAATAGTGCAGTCTCATATCAGGGTATCATACTTTTATTTCTCCAGTTGATTGGTGCTTAGTGACATACTTTTTTGCACATGAATTACTAGTTGATGCACTCTGGTGTAATAAACTATGCACTGTTCTTCTCTATAGTTCACTTATCTTACATTGTGATGCATGCCATTGACAGAATATGCATACTCCTATGACCACTAAGATAATGCAAGCCAGTTTCACATTCAATAACATGCACCTCTATGAGGGTAGGAAAGCCATCGAATCAGTTAATTGACATTTCACAAAACAATGCACATTGTATTTAGGTTTTCTGCACTTATTGACTTTCAAAAAACTGTCACATATACAACAATCACAACTCAGGTCTTAATGAACTCAACATATGCTCATACGCTCTAAATAGTGCAGTCTCATATCAGGGTATCATACTTTTATTTCTGCAGTTGATTGGTGCTTAGTGACATACTTTTTTGCACATGAATTACTAGTTGATGCACTCTGGTGTAATAAACTATGCACTGTTCTTCTCTATAGTGCACTTATCTTACATTGTGATGCATGCCATTGACAAAATATGCATACTCCTATGACCACTAAGATAATGCAAGCCAGTTTCACATTCAATAACATGCACCTCTATGAGGGTAGGAAAGC